GCACTGTAATTTCCTCTCCAACACTGCACCTCCAGAGCACCTCAGAAATCTGGCCACCAAATACTAAGCCTCTAGATCCCCACTCCGTCTCCATAGAAGGGTGATTTTTTTCAGCATTTTTCCCCAGCGCAGGATCCCACACACCAAACACACTTTGCCCTGCCTGACAACCACCAACCAGCTGCAATGAGTACAGAAGCTGCTGGCAGAGGAGGGAAATCACAGCACTGCATCACGAATTCCTGACCACAGCCCTATGCTCACTGGAGCACTGCTGGAGCAACCATTCCTGGTATCCGCCAATGTGCACACCAATGCCTGCTCATGTGTCAGTCACACCATGGTGGGTTAGGGACTCTCCTCTCATACGACTCAACACGTGGCATCTCATGGTCTGGAAGTCCATCAACTGGAGACATGAATAAGGCTGCAAACTTCTGTGAACTTCTGAAAGTGCCCTGGTAAGTGAAGGAGGCTTCCAGCAACTGAAGTGCAGCTGGAACTGCAGTGGTTGCTTGTGAAGAGAAGCTTACTCATTTTGCTTTTTGTTCTTCAATAAAAACTTCAGAATAATGTTAGCTTTCAGACCTGCAAGGCCTTTTAGAGATCAGTCACACAGTTCCACTTAAAGCTAAGTGATCCTTCTGTAACAAGACATTTTAATAAACGTGGTGATTATGTATGACAGTTTATCAAGATCCAAGGTTGAAGGCGTGAATATAATGTTACTGATGGGAACAATTCCTTCTTCAGAGGCTCCAGAATCTTCCTGTGTTTCAGCTCAAGCACTTAAGAAATTATACATCTTCATATTTTTTATCATTACTTCCATTGTTTAATGTAACTCTGTGTGTAAAGTAAATGACACGCTAGATCAGACCATAAATTTAGTTTTTTGTAACGATCTTGCTGAAGCAACAAGTTCTAAGATCTACTGAAAACCCACCAGTTTCTGCAGAAACTTAAGATTTTATTTTTAATTCACTCTGCTGTTTTCAAAGATGGTCCAGATCAGTTCAGGCTGAGGCTGTCTTGATTTTGCAAAAGCAAAGTGTCATCAGCCAAATTAATCTATAGTTTATTCCCTTTGTATTTACCAGCAAGTGATTAACCACATCATCTATCTCACTCACGTGCAGGATCTGGAAGCTACTGGTGAGGATGGAAATGTAAAATTAAATAATTTCACTTCTAGTAATTTGAATGGCCACGTCTGGTGATGCTTAGGGAGAAAGACATATTTCTTTTCCAGGTTTTTCTCCAAGCTTTGTGTTAGCTCGTGTTCATTTGGTTGATAAAAGCTCTTAGCAAAACAGATATTTGTCCAAACTTCAAAGACAGTTTTCATATTTCCGTGGAATGACAACCAGAAGTAGCTGCTATTTATTTAGAGAGGAAAGGATCAAACGTGTACAACCAGAAGTTTCTACACAAATGTAGAACAGAGCTATTTGGAATAAGGCACTGCTGTCAGAGCACTATCAGTAACACAGGTTTCTAGACAAAGTTAAAAAAAAAATCAGATTGTTTCTATTTATACCTGCCTTTGCCTTGGTAACCAGAGATTGTGTGAGGGATGCAGTATTTTCCCCACATCAGGGATGGCTTCAAAATCCATGTGCAGCCATGCAGTACATGCAGTATCTGCAGAACTATCACAAGATCTGTCACACTCATTTCTAAGAGACAATTTCAAGTATTAAGCAGGAAAGAGAATATTTCAGAAAGGGAGGTATATTAGTATAGCTTCAAAATAATTTGCTCTCATTTGTGTCTCATTTATTTGATTCTTTGTTCTTCTCAGTATTACAAGGAGCATTGCCCTTAAACACTTTTTCTTAATTACCCCAAGCAGCTTACCTACATCTGAGGTAGCAGGATTTACTTATAGTGGGACGCATTATGCCTTTGCTCTATCAAGTAGTTGAGTAAGATAAGAACAGACTGGATGGTGTTTCTTTATACTGTAACACATTCTTGCTTACCTTAAAGCCAGCTTTTCCCTACCTCACAAGTTTATCTGCAGCTTAGGTGTCCTTGCAGCCTTCCGCAGTGTTTAAAAGCTGAACCAGGCCATGTACTTGCAACTTCATTGTTATGATAAGCTCCTGCCCTGTGGGAGAAAAAGCATTTCAGTTCTGCACAGCTGTTTTAGCCATAATTCTTTGTTGTTGCATTTTCCTTATTCTTTTACTGTCAGGAAGGGTGGAGCAACCCAAGTCTCTTTCTCTGCCGCTACGATACTTGGGATCTGTACCTTCTTAGAAAATTGATTTAGAGAGGGTAAAAGCAGGTAAATATAGACTTAGAATGAAGTTGGGGAATCAGGGCCGCTACTGAACTTCTAGTTGACTTGGTTCCCTTTTAATAGCGTCACTATCCACTTATGATCTGGAAAGTAATTTTTGATGTCCTGTATAAAGCTCACAAAAGTCCGTGCTAGAACATTAGCAAGGAAGAAGGGGAAATAGTTGTGGGAAGTGGAGCAGGATCGGTAGAAAACCTGCTGGGCTTCAAAGATGTTCAGGGGTATGTGACTTACTGAAAGATCTTCTTGGGACACAAGCACTTGCTGTATTTTTAAGAGCAAATGTATACATTTTCACACACTGCCTTCTTTCACTCTAGTTGCTATCTTGCCAGACCCTAGGTCTTCTGAAATGCAGCAGAAGAAAACTGGTTTTGAGGGGTAAGGAGGCAGTTGGGAGCACTGGAGCCCTCCACATCTCCTCGGCTGGAGATCCTAGGGTTGGCATGTGGTGCCAGAGGAGGAGGCAAAAGGTTTGTGCCATTTGGGAGTTTCCCTCCATTTGCCTGATGGTGTAGTTTAGGCACAGCGTAAGTGATTAAAAAACTCATGCAAGCAGGGCTCCCATTTCAAGTGTAATCACTCCCATTGCTTTTCCCACGCCACCTGTATAAATAATTGAAAAAATAATTGAGATAATAGCACAACCAGTTTCAAACTCTCAAAAGCAGGAGTAGTGGCAAGCAACCAGCACTTTTGGACGTAAAACCACAGTAAGCTGAATCATCACACCTGCTCTGGCATGTTTATGAGGAGAAGTCTGAGTTGCCATAAGACAAGTATGAACTGGTTTGGGGCAAGTGAAATTCTGGTTTCCATTCCCCTACAGTAGCAGAACCCTAAAAACAAGCTTTAGTTCCTGCCACCCCTGTGCAGCCTGTAACACTCCTCCTCAAAGGCTTTCATTAATCTTGAGCCACTCTTTTGAAATGAACAGCTTCCAGATGTAACCACATTTGCTTTCATCTGCCAGCCAGGTTTGCTGCTCCCTGTGGGAAAGATTTTTTTTGAGCCAGTTATGCTCCCTAACTTTGAGGGCTAGTCATACCTGAGAGATAGTGGCACTGGGAGCTGCCAGGGCACACTGCCACTGGAGAGGGGCCCAGGGAAGCATGCTGCTCCCCTGCCCTTGCACCCCCACATGTGGTCCTTCACACATGGCCTGGCCCCTTGCAGGGGCTGCTTGCAGGGGCTGAGGAGCATGGATGGAGGTCCTGCCCCTTTCGGTGGAGCACTTGCCTCCAGGCAGCTGGAGTGCAAGCACTGCCAGGATGCTTCCTCGGCCCTCCCGTGGCCTTTAGCAGTCTTTGGAGGAAGTTCAAGTAACTGGAGATGGAGACACACAAAGCAGAGGAGCACTGTGTTGCTTTGCCAGACAAGAGATTAAACGGAGCCAAAGGCGAAGAGAGGCCCGTGCACAAGCAGAGCCAGAGGAACGCTGCCACCACCTCACCAGCCCAGAGCAGCTCTGGCCGCACGGCCCCGGTCAGGGCTCTGACCCCAATGCACCAGGCGGTCACAGAGGGGCTGCTCCACGCTGGAGATGAGCACTCGCAGAGGTGACGTCCCGGCCATGGGGAGCGGGGCTGCCAGGCCGGACTTTCCTTTGCAGCGACTGCAGAGCCCCCTGACACCAATCGCAGCGGGGACAGGCACGTCCCGCGGGGCGTTCTGCACCTCGGAGCTTTGGCCGCGGCGCGGAGGCCTGAAAACGCGAGAAGCCGCGGGGCTGCTCCCCGGGGAGGCCCGGGCGGC